CTGCAGGACGACACACTTTTTTAAAAAAAGAACAGTGGACCTTTGATTGTACCATCCACGGCTGTTTTCTTGACTTTTTCAGCCATACCCTGTGAGCACCCCCTGATCTGACAGTACATTCAGACAACTAGAATGAGGGTAAAGAAGGGCACTGAGGCTGGAAACAAAGAGGCCATTCCCATTATTTATTTAGATCAGCCTGATCTCAGCCATCTTGTGGTTATGGAAGATTAGTGACCCAGCACCACAATGTGGCTGGATGATACCATGAATTCCCACCAGAACCTGCATGGAAAACGAGAGGAAATGGGCAGAGTGAAGGGGAGGGCTATGATGCCATTTTTAAAAAAATAAAGTAAGGAACAAAGGTGATCCATAGAAGAATGTTTGACCTATAAAATGGAGAATATCAATTTAAATTTGGAAGGCAAATTCTGATTGAAAGACGAAAAAAGTCCAAGTTCAACTGTAGAAGTGATGACCAAGAGAGAAGGTGATTTTCTGTTCTCTGGGCATGTTCAAAAGGAATTTGGACTGTGATCTATCAGGGGTCCTGGAATTTGGATTCCTGCACAGGGAAGAAGGGTGAGCTAGATGGTCCCAAGAGTGCCCTTCCATTACATTTGATGCAGAGGTGGTATTCAGCAGGTTCTGAGCAGTTCTGGAGAACCGGTCGCGGAAATTTTGAGTAGCTCAGAGAACCGGCCAATACCACCTCTGATTGGAGATTTTACAGTATCCTTCCCCTGCCACTCCCACCAAGCCACACCCATAGAACTGGTAGTAAAAAAAATGGAATTCCACCACTGATTTAATGTCATAAAAATCACCAGGTATTTTTTTTTAATACCAAGTTTAGTTCACCTGAAAACAGCAATTCAAGGAATCAAACAGAAAGTTTGGGAGTGATTTACACGCATGTGTGAATCTGGCTCATTGCAGCAACCACTGAAGCTTCTCAATTTCTTTTTTGTTTGGGTGTGGTTGTTGCTGCCTCCCAAAAGCCCTGTTCTAGAGCCAATTGCAAAATTTCAGTCTGTAGAGAGACTCGAAACATGGGGGAGGGAAAAAAATTCTGGCATATAAAGATACAGATAATTCGCCCACAAGTTTAAACTGCCAGAAACTTGTCAAATTAGAACTGGCAAATCTCACATCCAGCATCTAATCAGCCTATTACAGAAATCTTTAATTTCCGTCCTCTGTTGAAACGCAGAAGAGGAGTTGAAGATGATTCAGTGCACAAGCTAGTCCTTCATTTATAATTATGCTAAGTGCACTTCCTCGGGGCGGCTGCAATGCAGATGTAAGGTAGGTCAACGGCCTTTAAATGATGGCCAAAACAGGCCTTCCCTGATACTCAGCCTCTGGAAAGGGTCCAGGGCCTTAGCTGAGTCCTGCATGGCCACCCTTGGTTGACTTTACGCAACATGCTAAATCCTTAACTTGGGAATGTACACCTCCCCATTCCATTTTCCAAGGTAAGAATGGCCAAGGAAGGAGAAAGCAACAGTAATTTCACTCTGGAAGTGAAATGAACAGAGACAAGAAAATAAAAAGAAAGAAAGGAAGGAAAGGAAGAAAGAAAAGAAAAGAAAAGAAAAGAAAAGAAAAGAAAAGAAAAGAAAGAAAGAAAGAAAGAAAGAAAGAAAGAAAGAAAGAAAGAAAGAAAGAAAGAAAGAAAGAAAGAAAGAAAGAAAATGTGATCTGAAAAGTAAAAAAAAGTAGGCTAAAAATAATATTTGCAGTCCTTCCTGATTTCTGAAGAGGCCAGATGTGAGAACTGGAAAAAGCCAATTTTCCTTGTTTGAGAACTTGGCTCATCTTGCTCTGGGATCCTTATCTCCCTGGTGGCCACAAACAATACCCCTTCTTCTGTGGCAGAACTCTGACCATGGAACTCTCTGCCTCATGACAATAATTCCCCTTTGGGTGAGTGTATGTGTTGCTGGTAACTGAAAATATTATTTTTTTCAACAACCTTTGCTTCCATGATTTCACTAAACGTATTGAAGTTTGGGTTTTTCCTTTGGATGCTTAGTTGGTGCTCCTTCTAGAGAGTTTTTGTGATACATGGCAATTGTTTTTGTGTCCTTTCTACTGATTTGTGTCAGGAACCCGGTTAGCTGTTCTGACAGTCTTTTGGGAAGGTAACAACAGAGTTATATATATATTGGGTAAATATGATGACTTTATTCCTTATAACAGGGCATTGAGCATTAAATACAATCAGAGACCCAAACACACTGCCTATACTGAACACACCTTGGTGGATCATAAATTTAGTTTTTGCTATCCCATCTTTCTTGCTCTAAAATAATAGAATTCAACAGTTCTGGAGATTTAGCTTGGACTAAGTTTAACAGGTAATTGAAGACTTTCCCTATCCCTCTGTTTTTATTCATTAATATTTAAATCAAATTTGCATAGCTGCCCATCTCACTAAAAACAACTCTGGGTGGTACACAACAATCAATTTTCCTTGTATTCACAACACAGAGGCTGTATTCACACAACACATTCAGCTTGGTTTTACAGTGTAGCAGAAAAGCTCTGTTAGTCTAGGATGGAAAAAAAGCAGGCATTTGATAACATTTATTTGATTTACGAAAGTATATACTTTTCAATAACATTGTGAGTCAGGAAAGGGGCTACAGGACTCCTTCATAGCCTGGTTACGAAGCCCGATTTGTAGACTTAACAATTCGCTTAATCAAAATTTAACCAAAGGGTTAGCACAGCTCTTTAAACCACAAGAAAACTAATCAAGATTCAGTCTAGCCCATGATTTATCTGCAGCTGCAATGTTTGCAACTTCTATAGTTAAGCATGTTGGGTGAACAGAGAGTGAAAGAACATTTTAAAACATATTTTTGAAAAATATAATAATCTTTTCTACCTCCGAACAATACATTTTCAGCCTTCTCTCACAAAGTGGTGCTTATTAGGAAGAAGAAGATTAGGAAAACGGAAGCACTTTTTTAAAAAAATTATGAACACGAGTTAACTAAGATTTAAATGTGAACCTTCACAGGCCCAAGAGTATTTAAGAGGGAGTCAAGCTATACTTCAAAACACCTGAGGGCAGGACAAGAAGCAATTGGATGGAAACTAATCGAGGAAAGAAGCAACTAGAACTCAGGAGAAATTTCCTGACAGTTAGAACAATTCATCAGTGGAACAACTTGCCTCCAGAAGTTGTGAATGCTCCAATACTGGAGGCTTTTAAGAAGAGATTGGACAGCCATTTGTCTGAAATGAGATAGGATTTCCTGCCTGAGTAAAAGACCTCCAAAGTCCCTTCCAACTCTGTTATTCTGTTGTTGTTCTGTTGAGCTGCAGCAGTCAAGAGTAAGTTGCCTTTTCGCAAAAGGTACGCAAGTCATGTTTTGGGGCAACTCCGAAACCGTAATACACAAGATGGTCATGGCCAGAATGTCTCGTTTTTTTCCCCCTAGATAAGGGGCAGCTTTCTTGGGACCCACCTGCCTCTCAAGCCAAGCTAAATTCATTTTAGGGCTCCCATGATCATTTATGGGAGATTCACAATTCTGCACCGATATTCACACATGATGCTCTGGATTATGGGATTCAGAAATCCATGCATCTTCAGCCTTCAGCCTGAGAATCCGGTTTTAAAACTACCTATCTGCATAACCATAAGCCATCATACAGGTAGTCCTCAACTTACAACCATTCATTTAGGGACCATTCAAAGTTACAACGGCACGGAAAACAGTTACTGACAGTGTCATGCCCCTGTTAGAATCTGACTCCGAGGGTGAGGAGGAACAGCTGACAGGGAGAGGGAGTGTGGCTCCGGACATTGTGGAGGAAACTGGGGAAGGGCACAGGCTGGCTGGGCATTCAGAGGAAGACCCAGGCCCATCCCCTCTTCATCCTAGGGCATGCAGGGAGGAGCGGAAAAGGGAGAAACATGAATGGTGTGGTCTATGGGGGAGGAAATGGCCTTGATCCTCTTCATGGGCTGCAGCTGTGAAGACTGTTTAAAAAGACAAACTGCACATGGCCCAGTGCTGGAAGCAAAGCTATTATATTATATTTCTAGTCTGTCAGTTCTTATCTGAATTCTGGTGTCCTTTCCAGTGTGTGTATTTCAATATCTGTGGATGTCTTCAAGCCCTTATCCTGCCTTGTCTCATTAATTGCTTCAGTGTGGTTTGTGTTGTTTTTTTCTATTTATAATTTATATGTATTTTGAATTTGAGCGGAAGTTCTTCTTTTTCGCAACTGTTTGTGGGGGAGTTTTTTCTCCAGTCAATGATAATTGGACCTTTGAAGCCAAGTTGAAGGAATTAAAGGGACTTCACCTATTTTTGTGACTTTGTTGCTTTTGTCTCCCATCCTCGGTCATCACAGACTGTTTCCTCACACTTATAACAATTGCAGCATCCCCACAAAACATGCAATCCAAATTTGGCTGCTTGGAAACCAGCATATATTTATGATAACTGCAGCATCGTGGGGTCATGTGATTGCCATTTGTGACTTTCCCAGTTGGCTTCCCAAAAACAAAGTTAACGGGGGAAGACAGATTCACTTAATGAATGCATGATTCACTTTACAAACGCAGTGATTGACAGCCAGGCCAAAAAGAGATTATAAAATCGGGCATGACTCATTGAACAACCAGCTTGCATAGCAATGAAAATTCTGACCTTAATTGTGGTCGTAAGTCCAGGACTACCTGTACTCCTTTTCTTCTCCCAACCTACGTTCTGCTGCATCCCAACCAAATCAAGACAAGCTCTTCTTTCAGTGGTTCCCACTGGCCATCCTGGTTACATTTCCTCCCCCAGCAGAACCCTCCATTGGAGATGATGGTGATGGTGGCCTCAGAAATACCCCTAACAAGAAGCACGTTTCAACACTTGTCAGTGACATCTACTTAATCCAATTTGGCCACCAAGAGGATGGATGGAGAGAGCGAACATGAGAATAGATACCAATTTCCTTTCTGAAAATAAGAGTTCACTTACTTCTCGGTTCCCGGGGACCATCGACGGTCACTTTAATAGCCCGGTGGTATGTAGCGACCTGAGTAGGGTTGGTGAAGACTGTGATGGTCAGCGTAAAGCTTTTTCCTTAAAAAGAAACAGCAAAGAGAGGATAATCAGAGGGGGAAAAGGCTGCATGAATTCAGGAACTGATAGGATCCTCTTTAATAAAGTACGCAGTTCTATTTTTGTTAAAAAATAAACTATAACAAAATAGGGTAGACTAGCAAAATGCCTGTTCTGCATAGAGAAGTTACCCATCCATGTTGCATTTCCAAACAGATCTGAAACTGAGAGCTTCTTGTTGACAATTTTGATTCTCAAGCTGACATCTAGAAGGACACAACATTAATCACGTTGAATTTATACCTACCGGTATAAATCTCACAATAAGCTCAGCACTGAACAATGCTATTTCAACTGTATGTATATTTGCTAACCTTGTGTACACTCGAACATTCACATAACATTCTTATTTGGGGGGTGGGGGGTGGGCAGGAATGCCTTTGATCCGACTTGACTCCCGGTGACTGCCTGGGCAAGTCCCTGCAGTTTTGTTGGCAGGACTTTTTAGAGTGGTTTTGCCTTGCCTGTTCTTCCTAGGGCTTCGAGAGAGGACTGGCCCAAGGTCACCTGGATGATTTGGGGTCTCAGGAAGGACTAGAGCGCACCAACTCCTGGTTATTAGTCTCTGATACCTTTAATCACTACGCCAACTTAGCTCTCAGCATTCTTAAACACTGTACAGGTATTTAAGAAAATTACAAATTACAACCACGATTAAGCCCAAAATTCCTGCTGCTAAGCGAGACAGTTGTTCAGTGAAGTTTGTTCCATTTTACGACCTTTCTTGCCACAGTTGAGTCCCTGCAGTTGTTAAATTAGTAACGTGGTTGTTAAGTGAATCTGGCTACCCCATTGGCTTTGCTTGTCAGAAGGTCACAAAAACTGATCACATGACCCCAGGGCACTGCAAAAGTCATAAATACGAGTCAGTTGGCAAGCAGCGGAATTTTGATCATGGGACCATGGGGATGCTGCAATAGTCATCAGTGTGAAAGTCTTTTTTTTTTCAGTGCCATTGTAATGTTGAACGGTCACTAAATGAACTGTTGTACATTGAGGACTACCCTGTTTCCCTGAAAATATGACCTACCCTGAAAGCAAGTCCTAGCTTTTTACTCATGCATCCAATATAAGCCCTACTCCCAAAATAAGCCCTAATTAAGATCCCACTCACTCCAGAGTACACAAGTAAAAATTAAGCTAGGGTAAAGATGGGTGTGTGTGTGTGGAGCTGCCCTACTACTGATGTAGCCAGGCCTCACACACCCCAACATCTGCCTTGCCAACCCATTTCTTCTGCAGCTGGCAAGGCTTTCCTGAAGGCCTCTGTAGCTGATCATAAATCTCAGGATCGATCCAGAGCTCTGTTATCGGCTGCATAGGCCCTCAGGAAAGCCTTGCCAGCCACAAAAGGAGTTCCTGAAGGCCTCTGACAGTGAAAAGGAGGCTGGGGGTGACACGCACAAGTGAAGTTAATCAGTGGATGACATCCCCCTCAAAATAAGACCTGGTGCCTTTTTTGATGACAAAAAATATATAAGACAGGGTCTTATTTTCAGGGGAACACAGTACTTGTATCTGGATTGAATCTGGTGCTTCACTGTTCCAAAGTATAATACTGTATAGAAAGTCCAGTTTTCAATGTATGATTAAGCTGTGGCCATCTCCGGCTCTTATGGCCGTTTCCCATGTGTCAAGCTCTCAAAAATCATTATTGAGATGAGAGCTACTTTGGTCTAGTGGTTAAGGCACCAGGCTACAAAGCAAGAGACCATGAGTTCAAGTCCTGCCTAAGCCATGAAAGTCAACTGGGTAACTTTAAGTTAGTTAACCACTCTCTCTCAGTTCAACCAACCTCACAGGGTTGTTGTTGTGGGGAAGATGAGGGAGGTGTATTGGATATATTCATTGCCTTATATGTAAAAATAATAAAGGCAAGATACAAACAAAAATGAATTTTAATAGAGAAGAGTTAACATTTTCCCATTTGAACCACTCAATAGAAATATGCTGTAAATAGATGAATAGCCATCTCATTATCTTTTGATAAAATATTACTTTTAACACAGCCAAGCAATAACCCCATTAAAGGCAGCGTTAATATGCATCTGCTTAATGTTCCAATCAGCATTTCTCTCATATTTACTAAAATGAAATGTATCTTTCCCTCAAGAATCAACATTTCAACATTTATCCCCAAATGTAATTCTACCTAACTATCCGTCTACATGTCTATTTGTCCTTATAATTTGCTCCAATCCCACAAGGATTTGGATAGTACTCAACAACAAACAGAAGCAAAAATGAGAAAATTCCAACTACATTAAATCCAGCACCAGAAAGCAAAAACAACCCCAAGATAAGAGGCCCTTCACCTGTGGTTTTCTACACAACACCACTAAATTTTATCACAAACTTTTTAAAAATAATACAATTCTTTGATTTGTGCAATAAATGTTTTCTAAATCTAAGTTACAGCTCTATGCAAATGCCAGTACGATTTTGTGGTCACTTCATTTGCTAGGATATATTTTGGTGATTCTAAATTATGCATCAAATTGTAAAACTGACCCATAGTTTTTCTTCCATCCATGTTAGACAAATGATACAGTTGATAAAAATTTATGTTTCTTAGATGAAACATGTTTTCCTAAAATATATCTCAGCTGAACTTGAATCATGGTATAAATTAGATTGCCAGTATCTCTTATCTCCAATTAATTCAGTGCGGGGGTTTATTTATTTTATATTTTATTTTGTTTTATTATTCTGTTTCATAGCAGCCAACTCCCTTTCTTTTGATCTTGACTTTTCAGTTCTTCCTGTTGCAGTATATGACAGTTAGAGGAATTTGTTTCGGGTCAAAGAAAACATAATATTTATTTCACCATTTTCAAAATTAATGCTTGAGGATTTTATTTAACAAATATGAACTACTATTGAGGAATGTTTTTATTACATTAGAGGAGCCAGAGATTTTCTCAATAAAACATAAATATAAGTTATGCTCATAATACTTCTTTTTATGTATGGAAAACTTTCTGTCTTTTATAGAATTGTCTAAAATTTATCTGCAAATGTTTCTTTTTCTTCTACAGAATGTGGCCATTTCTTTTTTGCTCATTAATTATAGTAATAGATGAGGATACCTTAAAATAAATGAGCAGGATGTTCTTTGCAGTCACTATTTCCTTATCTAGGAAATGTTTTGATTGAAAGGGCATTCATTCCATATGGTCTATCACAGTGTTTCTTAACCTGGACTGGTTTCTGAGGTGTGGACTTCAACTCCTAGAATTCTCCAGTCAGCAAGGCTGGCTGGGGAATTCTGGGAGTTGAAGTCCACACCTCGGAAACTAGTCCTGGTTGAGAAATACTGCTCTATCACTTTCCTGGCCGACCCCTCCATGCCTGACAGGGAATTCAGCAAATTCCAGGTGTCTGACTCATCTTCCAAGATAGTTTTCATTTCTGTGGCTTTGTGGTTTCCAGGTGTACACAAAGGTCTTCTTTTGAATGTTCAAATTGCAAATGTGAGGAAAGTGCCCCGAAGTCATCAAGAAACCTTCTCTACCTTCAGAACAAGGAGAGCTCTGGTGAATCTGAAGGCAATTGAGTTCCTACCACCCTGTCTTCAAACCACATAATCACGGCCTCCTTTGCTGAATACTGGAGATACTCAGCCACTGCCGGTTGGAGGTGGAGTTATCGCATTGTCGGGCTGCCTGGCAAACGAGGGATTGTGGTCAAACAGAAGAAGTTGATAATGAAATTGGTTAGTTTTGAGCCATGGTGGTGCAGCAGTTAGAGTGCAGGCTACTTCTGCCGACTGCTGATTTGGCAGTTCAAATCTCACCAGGCTCAGACTTCCATCCTTCTGAGGTGGGTAAAATGAGGAGCCAGATTGCTGGGGGCAATAGGCTGACTCTGTAAAACTGCTTAGAGAGGGCTGAAAAAAAACACTCTGAAGTGGTATAAAAGTCTAAATGCTATTGCTACTTGCCAGCATCTCGGATCATGAATAAAACCAAGGCCACTTTTATCTTAGCACATGAAGCATATAAAAGAATTGGATGTGGCTAGTCTAGGAGGAAAAAGGAGTACGGGTGACATGATAGTAGTGTTGCAGTATTTGTCACATAGAAGCCGGGGTCCGATTTTACTACCGTTTGTCATGGTTGTTAAGTGAATCATTTCAGTTATTAAGAGAATCATGGAGTCGTTAAGTGAATCCAGCTTCCCTCATTGACTTTGTTTGTTGGAAGCTGGCTGGGAAGATCACAAACAATGATTACATGACTCTGGGATGCTGAAACCATGGTAAATATATGCCAGTTGCCAAATGCACAAATTTTGGTCATGTGACTATAGAGATGCTGCAAGTGTGAAGACTGGTCATAAGTCACATTTTTATTACCATTGTATCTTCTAGGAGCCATGGTGGTACAGTGGTTAGAATGCAGTATTGCAGACAAACTCTGCCTACAACCTGGAGTTTGATCCTGACTGGCTCAAGGTTGACGCAGCCTTTCATCCTTCCACAGTTGGTTCAAATGAGGACCCAGATTGTTGGGGGCAATATTTATAAATCGCTCAAAGTGTTGTAAAGCACTATGAAGCAGTATATAAGTTTTAAGTGCTATTGCTATTGCTAAATGAATGGTGGTAAGTTGAGGATTACCCGCGTTAATATCTTGCTAGGGTTGGGTTTCACCCACTGCCATGAGTCCCAGGATAAAAAGACCATAATTAGAAGAAGAAAGAGTTTCAAATCTCAACCCAGAATCTGACTTCAGCACGGAAGGAGTTAATTAAGCGAAAGGATGGATACATTCATATATGCAGCTCACGCAGTCCCATTTCCAATCCAAAATATTCCATCCAGAAGGGGGAAAAAAACCTCAATCATTACCAATTCTGCTAAAAAAAACAACAACCCCTGTCCTATGTATGAAAATATTTTAATGAGCTTTATAGAGGTTTGATCAAAAGCTTGTCTGCAACAGTAGACAAAGACCCCCACCTCGCCACCACTTTTCTAAGCTTGGTGCAAGTCGAAGAGAGAAGAATTGAAATCAAAGAAGTCAAGACTACTGTAATTTCTCAGTCCAGACATGGAGACCCAAGTGGGGGCTCCTAATGAATTCAAGAGTCAAGTTTGGACTGAGCTAAGTTCACGTTTGGAACTCTGTGTAACACGGATGGAAAAAAGAAGAAGGGGGGGAGGAGAAGGAGGAAGAGGAGACTTAAGCAAATAATTGAGTACAGAAATGAAAGCGTAATTCATAAAATCAAAACATTTTCCATTCATCAACCTGCAAGCAGTTAAATGCCGGGGGGTGCGGGGTGGGGAGAGCAGTTTGAAAGAAAAAAGACTGCCTGCCATTTGAGGGAAAGATCCAGCAGGAAAATGGAAACGCAGAAAAGAATGTAAATGAGTTGGGTTTCACAGAGCGCAACAAGTAAACAGTTATTACATGCAAATCATTTGTAAGATCGTTTGCCGAAAAGCCCCAGAAATCTTTTTTCACAATTCCTGGTTGAGGGATTTGACATTTGGGGGAAGGCGGGGAGGGGGAAGGCCAGCAGGCCACTGTAAGTCTTGGAGCCCCTGCCACCTTTTGCAGAAAGAATGCCTGCTAAAGACAGCGGTTGAGTTGCAAAGAAGACGGAATTAAAGTCACCCTGAGACCATTTTGATCAAATGATTGCTGTTTTATTCACTGATCATTCTAAGGAGTCCACGCGTCAGGGTTGACCTTGTGGGGTGTGTGGCTGTGTTTGGCTACCAAAAGTCAAGATGATAGCTGCAAAAGCACAACTGAAGCTCCATGTTCAACTGTAAAACACACATACACAAACACAATAGGTGAGTTTCATTGGAAGAGAATATTTGTAGCACAGGATTGAACTGTGGCGTCCTTGGTGGTCTCTGAGCTAGTGGGGTTTCTTGCAGACGTTTCATTACCAAACTAAGTAACATCATCAGTTCCCTAGCTGTGCATCGATCAATGCACAATCACGTTGCACTGATGATGTTACCTAATTACCTAATTTGGCAATGAAAACCACCAAGCTCAGAGACCATCGGGTGAGTTTCAATCACACCAATGTGGCTATTATCATTATTTTTTGACCATACCTCATTCTTTGCTCAAACGGGTTTAAGGCTGTTTCCTATGAATGCACAGAGACATAATAACCATTGGTTTAGATTGCTAAAGATTCAGGGGACTTCCTGCAGCTTCAGTCAGCTACAACTTCCCCAGGATGAAACCTTTGCTGGATCATATGGTCACAATGTAAAATCTCCTCCTTACAATAATGAATGAATTACTTTGACAATGTTGTATGGTATGAATTTTTTCTAAATAGGGAAGAGTTCTGCTGCTGGAATACATATAAACTTTTCATCACAGTAAACCTAGCTAAAAGAACTATGTAAGGATTATGCTTGGACAAGAATTCCTTTCATTTTCAAGCATTTATCCAAAGAAGAGTATATTTGAATTGTACAAGATTGAATTGTAGGGCCCCTGGTGTTCTCTGAGCTTGATAGTTTCCTTGGAGAAATTTCATTACCAAACTAGGCAACAACATCAGTAAACTACCAAGGTGTGGTGGAAGGACCCCACCTTTATCCAAAATGTGATGAAAAAGGCTGGGGATATTGATGGTCTAAACCAGGGGTGTCCAACCTTGGCAACTTTAAGACTTGTGGACTTCAACTCCCAGAATTCCTCAGCCAGCAAAGCTGGCTGAGGAATTCTGGGAGTTGAAGTCCACAAGTCTTAAAGTTGCCAAGGTTGGACATCCCTGGTCTAAACCCCAACACACCTTCCATGCACACCGCACCATGAACTGGGATAGCCTTGATAGAAAACGACAAGTTTAGCTCAGGGCAATGCTTAGTCTGGTGTTTCTCCAACTGAGCAACTTTAAGATGTGTGTGGATTTCAACTCTCAGAATTCACCCAGCCAGGATGGCTGCCTGGAGAATTCTGAGAACTGAAGTCCATACATCTTAAAGTTGCCAAGTTTGCGAAACACTGATTTAGCCTCTAAGCCTTGGGACAAGGGCCATAAAGCCAACAGCAAACAGAAGCCAGAAAATGAAAGAGAGAGGGCCAAGCTAAGATGAAACATAATTAAGCGTTAATCAAAATGAAAGCAATTAAGCACAATGAAAGCAATTACTCCCTGTGAGTTCATAATTAAGCATTAAATGTTACAATTCAGCAGAAATATTTGGAGAAGATTTAAAATCATCTGCAAAGGATTGAGAGGGAGACATACAACCGTGGGACTATTGTTTATACCGGGGTCCCCAAACTTGGCAACTTTAAGATCTGTGGACTTCAACTCCCAGAATTCTGCAGCCAGCATAGCTACTGATGTTTACTTCCAGAATTTCATATGCACAAACATTTAATCCAGAGCACACTTCAAAAACCTTACACAGGTAGTCCTCGACTTAATGCTATTTAGTGACCACTTGAAGTTACAACAGCACTGGAAAAAGTGACTTACGACCATTTTTCACTTACGACCACTGTAGCATCTCCATGGTCACATGATCACAATTCAGATGCTTGGCAACTGGCATGTATTTATGACAGTTGCAGGGTCATGTAATTCATCTTTTGCAACCTTCTGACAAGCAAAGTCAATGGGGAAGCCAGATTCACTTAACAATCACATTACTAACCTGACTACTGCAGTGATTCACTTAACAACTGTGGCAAGAAAGATTGTCAAATTGGATAAAACTCACTTGACCACTGTCTTGCTTTAGCAACGGGAATTTTGGGCTGAGTTTTGTTCAAGGACTAGCTGTTTCTCAATTTTACGATAAATAGAGAACATATTCTCTATTGTAACAGAATATTCTCTTTTATTAATAGAGAACATGCGGGTGTGCATGCACGCACGCGCGTGCACACACACAGAGACACACACAGAGGTGGAATACTTGAACTTCTGCAACACATCAGTTCCCGCCAAGTTAGAAATGCTTTAAATATGCCCCAGAAGAAAGGGAATGCTGGGGAAAGAGGTTAGTGATTAGAAAACCTGCACCCCATCAGCTTAAGCTCCTTTAAAGTCCTTACCTCGGCCACTCCGTCCGACAAAGCGAAGATCGTTGAACCTGGCCACCTGATTCTTCATTACAGCTGAAGCATTCCGAAGCTCAGCCGAATAGTTTTCATCATTACCAGCCATGACCGTAACCACCGTCCCATCAGGAACGTCTCCAAGGGACACCACCTAGAAGGAATCAAAGGTGGCATTTAGAATTATGCAGTAATTAAAACTGTCTATTAAACAGCAGGTTCTGAGCAGTTCTGGAGAACCGATAGCGGAAATTTTGAGTAGTTTGGAGAACCAGCAAATACCACCTTTGACTGGCCCCACCAACCCCATCTCTTCTCTGCCTCCCATTGAGTCCCAGCTGATTGGCTGGGTCTTGTTTGGTTGCCCTGCACAGGAGAAAGGAGCTGGAAAGCAGGTTAGTGGGGGTGGGGAGGGAGTGGGGATTTTGCTGCATCCTTCTCTTGCCACGCCCACCAAGCCATTCCCACAGAACCAGTAGTAAAAAAATTTTGAATCCCACCACTGCTTGTAACCATTCAAGGGGCATTTTGGAGCCAGGGCTAAATATTATTTAACATGAGCTGGGTAGGTGTGATGTGGGTGGAGGGCACAGTTAGTCCTCTTGGGCGAGCCCCAAGTTGCAATCCTATAGAATCACTGAAACACAGGACTGGGAGGAACCTTTAAGGCCTTCTGGTCCAATTCCCTGCTCAAGGCAAGAGCCTCATACCATCCCAGTCAAATGGTTGTTCGCAAAAAGAATAAACCTACTTAAGGCTGCAGTTCTAAACCTTGGCCTTCCCAACATCCGGATATATTGGCATTATAATTTGCAGGGGTTCCTGTTCACATAGCCACAGAAGCAAGTCAACAAGAGAAAATAAGATTGCATTAGATTGTTATTGGGGTGATGTAAAGATTGAAGAACTTGATTTGGAAAACTTTGAATAGAACAGAACAGAACAGAATAGAATAGACTTCTTTATTGGCCAAGTGTGATTGGACACACAAGGAATTTGTCTTGGTGCAAATACTCTCAGTATACATAAAAGAAAAGATACAACCATCAAGAGTCAAGAATCATAAGGTACAAACACTTAATGATAGTCATAGGGATAAGCAATCAAATCATGCTAGGAAACGGTCAATATAAATCGTAAGGATACAAGCGACAAAGTTACAGTCATACAGTCACAAGTGGGAGGGGATGGGCGATAAAGAGTGATGAGAAAATTAAAAGTAATAGTAATGCAGACTTAGTAAATGTTTGGACAGTGTTGAGGGAATTATTTGTTTAGCAGATAATTTACACTTTCCACCATTATTCTGGATATGTTTTCATGGGATATGTTTTCATGTATTTATTTGATGCGTTATTTATTACTGCAATTTCTATACCACTCAGTTGCAAAAAAAAACAAACAACCTAATTATGTTTACTTATGCAGATATTGAGAAAATGTAAATTTTGGAATGTCTTTCCTTCTCTTTTCCTTTTTTTGAAACATCATTTCGATAAACATTTTTAAAAAATGATTAAATGCATTTAAATCTTCTCATGACCAGAATCAGGACAGACATAACAAAAAGCTATTAAATTAATATATTACCCGACTATCCACAACTCTGGGTGGAATTATTTAAAAATGAGTAAAAATAAACCGGGGCAGGAATGAAATTGTATTGTCTATTACTAATTTTAAGGACAACCTTTTCTCAGAGTGAACCCTTTGAATGCCGCACACACATAAGATCTTCTCACGAAACGAATTATTTTACGGTGGCTGAAAAGTCTAGTCAGCTTTTGACATTAACAAAAAAAATATGTGTTGTGTACGGACCACGTTTCTCTCACTGCTCTGGCATTCTTTGACACATATCCTTTATATGGTTCTAAATGTTTGTCGTTTTGTGTGGCATTGTAAGTGCTTTCCTTTGGGATGACTTTGGAATGAAAAACTGGGTTGACGTTATACTAAGAAAAGAAAAGAAAAGAAAGGAAAGGAAAGGAAAGGAAAGGAAAGGAAAGGAAAGGAAAGGA